CTATGTTAGGGGTCCTATTAAGGGCTATATACAACCATATTATAAGTATTATCCAACTGTTACTGAGGGGGGGCAGTACCCAAGCTAAACCCTAAACCCCTAAACCCTAAATCTTCCTCACTCTGTGGCCCAGTCCCGCTCCAGGGCCACCACGAGCTCACCCCAGCGCTGAGAACCAAAGGTGCTTGCATGAGTGGCATGCCAGCCTCAGAGCTTAAGGGTGGGGTTCAGGGTTTAGGGTTTAGGTTTAGGGTTTAGAAATTTAGGGTTTAGGGGTTTAGGGGTTTAGGGCTTATGGGATTAAAGGTTTAGGATTTGGGGTGTAGGGTTAAGGGTTCAAGGTGCTTGGGGCATACATATGCGAATGGGAGATGACATGGAAGCGACTATCTCGGGTTTAGGGTTCAATAATGGAGAAGGAAATTGAAACCCTAAACCCTAAGACTATGGAATGGAAACTAGGCTTATACAGTGGCTATGCAGGAAGCATCTCCGCTAATGGAAGTTGTTACTGTCAGGCTCATTATGACCAATTGTAGGGGGTATACAGGGTCCCTGAAAAGAGGGGTCATCAGGATATATAGGGTTGAGGGTTCAGGACAATTAGAATCCAACTATATCTGTACTTATAAGCCAAGTACCCCCTAACTCCCCGCATAGAAATCCAATGGTGCTATCAGTCCCAGTTACAATATAATTGGTTTCTGACTACATGGAGCCTCCAATTAGGCGCGAGAGGCTTAGAGTGTAGGGTTTAAGGCGGGGTGAGGGTTGAGGGTGTAAGGTTTATCGTTGAGCATTTGGGGTGTAGGGTTTGGGGTTTCGAGTTGCAGGTGGAATGAAATGTAAAATTGCCCAAGCCAGAAACGGGTTAAAATCGAATTCTGAACTTACGGTCTGTCAGCACGTGATTTGGGTTGCAAATTGAGTTCTGATCTGACTTCCGCTGCAAGCGCCATTGGTTATACTTGTATATATATATATATCATCCCTACATAACCCCAATATAACCCCAACATACAGTAGTAATTTCCATTTTATTTTCCATCATCCCTATATAACCCCTATATATACTTCGAACTGGGATCCAGGCAGGCTTTCATTGCATGGTGAAGGGGACGTAGGTGAGAACTACGAACTTGTTTCCTAGGATTCTAGGGCAGGTTTGCTGTGACCTAGTGCATGTGCCATATCTTGGCAAAACCCTAAACCCTAAACCCTAAACTCTAAACCCTAAACCCTAAACCAGTTTAGGTTTCCGAGGCCTCGCCCTGCTTCAATCAAGAGTGCCGACTTGGAAAACAGGAGTATTGCTAGGCACCCCAGACCTAAACTTAGCCCATACTAACCTAGGAAGAAAAAAGGATCCTTTTTACATACATATAAGGAATCCCATACCCCAAAAAGTATAAAGGATCCCTAACATTGATCCAGTAAAACCCTAGCAAGGACTATGGGGGCATTGCAGTTGTCCCGCTGAAGCATCAAACGTACAGTCGTTGTGGGAAACTTGGCACAGGTAGGATGTCAACAAGCTTGGCGCGATGGCACAAGACGGCTTTGAATTTTCCATGCTGGAGGGTCAGGTGGACTTAGTAAGTAGGTTAAGAAGGCAGATGACGGGGGTCGTAAGTATACTTACTCAGTCCCCCTGAGCCCCGTAGTATGGCTAGGCTTGCATCACCCCCTTCGACGGCTGAGTTCAAAGCCTTCCTCCTGTCGGAGAGCCATGAGCTCAGAGGCTCCATCTGGGTAGCTCCCAAAATGAAGGTCCCATGTTGGTACCTCTAGATATCAATAACTGGAAGGGGCCCATAATTTTGAGAATAACCCACCACACCGGTGGCTGGGCTCTCTGCTACCTGCTGTGTTAGTTGGGCGCTTGAGGTGGATAGGACAATCGCTTTCTATGTCATGCAAGAATGTTCTGCATAACGGATCATGCGCTTGTTCAGCCAGATGCTGCAGCAATGCGGCTTAGGGTTGAGGGTTTAGCTGCACCCAATTCTTCCATGTCCATGCCCTGCCAGTGGCAAATCATTCTACACCCACCAGCTCATGCGACGAGTCCCTGGTTTGCATCCAACAGGGGGGGGGGCCCTAAATTAGGGGTACCGTTTTGGGGATTCCCATTTTCAGGACTATGTTATTTTGGGTGGAAACTACCGTAGAATCCCTATGTAACCCTTGTATTTAATGGCTTTCATTTCATCTTCCATGTGACCCTCCACTATCGGGGCAATATATCCCTACTCCCTACACCCTGAACCCTTAGTAATCCCTAAACCCTCATCCCTAAACCCAACTGCCACAGTTCCCGAACTTTGTCTCCGGGAACGGTTCTGAGCCCTTTGACTCGAACATTCCGCGTTTCTCATCCTCGTCCGCGGCCTCGACGAGGTCCCCATCTCTTTCAAGACCTGTCAAAATAGGGGTTTCCCAAAATTACCTGTACCTTTTTAGGGGTCCCTATAATAAGGACCATAGTAAATTGGGGTCTACATTGGGGTTCCCTAATTCTGGGAAACTACCAAATAAGGTTTAGGATGTAGGGTCTTTCGAAGTTTCAGGACCTACAAAGGGAGACAGGCAAGTTCAGACCCAGCGGATTGCTGACATGAGGCTGCTCGACCCACTTTGGACGAAGCAGCTAACCCCCAGAAACACTGTCTCCCCCAAGGTGCCAACATGCATATGATGCACACACGTACATCCACCAATGCAATCCCTAGATAACCCCTTTATAATCGCATTAAAACTCCAATATTCCCCCTATAGAACCCCTATATAATCCCATTAAAACCCCAAGAGTACCATATAGCCACATATAATCCCATTAGAACCAATATTGCCCCCATATATAATCCCTATCTAGTCCTGTTTTCACCCCAATATTACCCCTATAGAATCCTTATATATTCCCATTATAACACCAGTACTACCCCTAAATAATCCCTCATAATCCCATTATCACCCCAATACTACCCCACATGATCCTTATATCCCTATACAATCCCATTATAACCCGACTACCCCTACAATCCCTATATAATCCCTTTATAACCCCAATACTGCCCCTATGTAATTCCTATATAATCCCATGATAACCGAAATGCTACCCTGGAGAATCCCTATATAATGGGATTAGCCCAGCCCTAAACCCTAAACCCCATAGAATTCCTAATCCCCAAGTAAATGCGTTATTCTCCGGGGCATCCCTTGGCTCTGCAAAAAGGAAGGCCTGCAAGCAACCTTCCAGGCATCCCAAAATCTCGCCGCCAACTACTGTACTTGGAAGAAAATAGAAACTACTCTATATGTATATATATACATACACATATGTATATATATATATCTATATATATATGCATATGATTTAGGTTTAGGATCAGGGGGACTTAAGAAGTAGGTTAAGAATGGGGATCAGTAGGGTTACTCTATGGATTGTAGGGGCTATTAACCTACTTATTAAGTCACCCTGACCCTCCGAATAGAAACCTGAGCACATAGCAATAGCATGTTGAAGGCTGTTTGAGGTACCGAATACTAAATAATTGTTCAAGAAACCTAGGACTATGAAATGACCACGCGGTGTAAGGTGTAAGGGTTTAGGTTTTGGGATTTACCCAACTTCTGACACCTGCACCTGAGACCCCTACACACCTGAACCCCAGAAACGGGAGTACATTTGTCAGGCCTGAACTTAAGTCGGGGTTTCCCCAAATTAGGGAGCCCTCTTTGGGGCTCTCATGCAAAGGGATTATCGCATTCAGGGGTCTATATTGGACTCCGCAATTCGTGGAAACTACCAAGTAGAAGCCAAGCCAAGGATTATGGAAATGGTACATACGCCCAAAGGGCTTAGGGTTTAAGTCTTAGGGTACTAGGTTATTAGGATCACGGACTTTGTTTTATTGGATTTTTGATAAATAAAGGAACCCACTATTGAGGATAACCAGAAGGGACGATAATTTCAACAACCCATCAGGCAAGCGTAGACTGTCAAAAGAGAAGGTCCGCACGACCTGCCCAAAGCCCTGGAATCTGTGCGAAAGCATGAGGGAGTTTCCAAAACACACCTTCTTTTGGGAGTCTCCAGAATAAGAACTATGATCTATTCTTGGTTATACTGGGGCCCGCCACGCATGGAAACCCCCATACCTAAGCAGCATTGTCATCCGGGTTGGTAGCTGTCCAGACAGTCTGTTGAAACGCACGTTCAGGCTCAAAAGGGATAAATTGCAGCGAGCCCGTGCGATGCAAGTGCTTCATTGAATTAGTTTACAAGAGTCTGATGTACTTTACAAGGCAGGGGTGCCTGTTGGCTTAAATGCCAAACGGCCCTGTGGTCACCGTACGGCACCTCCCGGAGCCTCCGGAGCACTTATGGCTCAGCAAATGCTGCCAAAGCGATCTTCGTGCATAATCTCGTAGCTGCTCTGACCCTGATATTGTTGGCTAAGGCGAATAAGGTCCTGCTCCTCATAGCAGCCGAACTTGTGCCCGCCCTTGAAGTGACACTGGATCTCACAGATATCGTCACAGTACTCATGTGCAGATTGAGAGCCGTACCTGTGGTTGTAGTCCCCAGCTGCGTAGAGCTGGGTCTTTCCACGGTTTGACCGAGAGCACATGCAGCACGTCTCACCGGGGACGCCATGGCCCCAACCATAGTTGTTGCTGGGGCCCCATTGGCTGGACGGAGGGTTGTTGCCTCCGCCGCCAAAGCCCCCACCATTGCCGCCTCCGTTCGGACGCCCATTGTTGCCTCCTCCATTCCATCCACCATTGCCACCTCCGTTCGGACGCCCATTGTTGCCTCCTCCATTCCATCCACCATTGCCGCCTCCGTTCGGACGTCCATTGTTGCCTCCTCCATTCCATCCACCATTGCCGCCTCCGTTCGGACGCCCATTGTTGCCTCCTCCATTCCATCCACCGTTGCCGCCTCCGTTCGGACGCCCAT